ATTGAATTGAATCGGAATTTCCTGGTCTGCAGTCAGAATTCCAAAAATAGACATTTTAAACACACGCGGAAAATGGCAAAATTGCGGGTTTTAGAGTTGGAATTACTAGAAATTGTGAGCTTTAAAACCAGGAAAAATTAGTTCTAATTTTAAATTTAAGCTTTACAAATAAAACTGGAAAAAGAACAGCGAGCCTTAAAGTTGGAATTCGGAGTTATAAAATCAAAATTCTGAATTATAAAATGGGAACAAATAATTTCTAATTTGAAGCTCGAATTTCCATGTTCGTAAGTCAGAGTTTCAAAAGTAGAAATTTGGGGCACACAAGTACAACTTTTCCGGGTTTTGAATTGGAATTTTCTGTTTCGAAGTCAGAATTCCAGAAAGATAAATTTCGCCTACACAACTAGGCTAAATAGGAAAAATAATTATTAGTTCTAAAGTTGGAATTGTGAGTTTTAAAATCGAAATTCTGAGTTATAAAACTGGAGAAATAATTCCGAATTTTAAGGTCGGATTTCGTTGTACCCAAGTCAGAATGCCAAAAATAAAATGTCAACTAAACAAACTAGATCGAAAAAAATAATCATGGGTTTTAAATTTTGAATTATAAAACCGGACAAAATTTTGCAGCTTTTGAAATCGGAATTTTCTGTTCCGAAGTCACAATTTCAAAGTAGAAATCTTGAGTAAATAAAGAAAATGGGAAAAAATAATCGCGTGTTTTAAAGTTAGAATTCCGTTTTCGTAAGTCAGAATTTCAAAAGAAATTTCAGCTTCATAATAATACGAAAAAGAACAGATGTTTTAAAGTTGGAATTTTGACTTATAAAATACGAAAAATAATTCCCAAGCTGGGTTTCCAGGTTTTTAAGTCAGAATTACAAAAACAGAAGTCCCCACTACGCAAGTTAAACCGAAAAAATAATGATGAATTTGAAACTTGGCGCATCGGAAGCGACAACTGGAAAAAAAATCCGGGTTTTGAAGTCCGAATTTCCTGAATCGAAGTCAGAATTCCGAAAATAAGGATCATAAATACCGAGGAAAGTGGGAAAAATTATTGCGATTTAGAATCAAAATTATACCAAAGTATAAACCAGGAAAAATTATTCTAAATTTTAAAGAAGAGACAGAATTCAAGTCTTTTATGTCAGAATTTGAAAAGTTGAAAGGCGCATAAATAAAACAGGAAAAAATAACCATAAGTTTTAAAATGAGAATTGTGAGTTTCAAAATCGAAATTCTGGGTTATAAAATGGGAAAAATAATTCCGAATTTTATTGAGATCGGATTTCTATTCACTCAAGTCAGAATTCCAAAAATAAAATTTTCAACTGAACAAGTAAGAACTAAAAAAATAATTATGAGTTTTAAAGTTGAAGCTCCATGTTCAAAGCCCAAATTCTGAATTATAAAACCGGACAAAGTCTTCCAGGTTTTGAAGTCGGAATTTCCTGTTACGAAGTCAGAATTTCAAAATTAGAAACTTTGAGGAAATGATGAGGAAAATGGGAAAAAATAATGTCGAGTTCTAAAATTGGAAATCCAAGTTTTCAGGTCGGAATTCCGAGTTTTAAAGTCATAAATAATTCCATTTTCGTAAGTCAGATTTTCAAAAGCAAAAATTTCAACTACAAGTAAAACCAGAAAAATAACCAGGTGTTTTAAAGTTGGAATTTTGACTTATAAAATAAGAAAAATAATTCCCAATTTTAAAGTCGTTTCCATGTGTCAAAGTCAGAATTCCAAAAACAGAAATCCCCACTGTGCTAGTTAAACGGGAAAAAATAATTATGAGTTTTAATGCAGGAACTTGGCGTATCAGAAAGGGAAATTTTGAGATATAAAACGAAAAATTTCCGGGTTTTGAAGTCCGAATTTTGTGGTGCGAAGTCAGAATTCCAAAAGTAAGAATCTTAAATAGGTATACGAGGAACTTGGGAAAAATTATTGCAATTTTAAAGTGGAAAATTAAAATTTAAAAGTCGTAATTCAGTTTTTCTAAGTCAGATGTTCAAAAGTAGAAATTTCAGCCACACCAGTAAAACGGGAAAAATAACCAGTTGTTTTAAAGTTGGAATTTTGACTTATAAAATAGGAAAAATAATTCCAATTTTTAACGTTGGTTTTCCATGTTTCTAAGTCGGAATTCCAAAAAAAGAAATCCCTGATGTGCGAGTTAAACCGGAAAAAATAATTATGAAGTTGATACTTGGTGTATCGGAAGCGAAATCTTGAGTTATAAAAATTTTCCGGGTTTTGAAGTCAGAATTTTCTGATCCGAAGTCAGAATTCCAAAAGTAAGAATCTTAAATAGGCACGAGGAAAGTGGGAAAAATTATTGCGATTTTAAAGTTGAAATTCCAAGATTTAGAATCAAAATTATAAGTATAAAACGGAAAAAATTATCGCGAATTTTAGTCTTTATGTCAGAATTTGAAAAGCTGAAATTCCAGGCGCATAAGTAAAACAGGAAAAAATAGCCATAAGTGAGTTTCAAAATCGAAATTCTGGGTTGTAAAATGGGCAAAATAATGAAACATTTTAAGGTCGGATTTCCATGCACCCAGTCAGAATGCCAAAAATAAAAATGTCAACTACGCAATTAAGATCGAAAAAAATAATGAGAGTTTTTAAGTCGAAATCAAAAAACCGAAATTTTGAATTATAACACCGGACAAAATTTTCCAGGTTTTAAAGTGCGAATTTCCTGTACCGAAGTCAGATTTCAAAAGTAGAAATCTTGAGTAAATGAGGAAAATTGATTGGAAAAAATAATCGCGACTTTTTAAGTTGGAATTCCAAGTTCTAGGGTTGGAATTCCGAGTTTTAGAATCGAAATTGTAAGATATACGAGTAGAAGCGGAAAAAATTATTCTAAATTTTAAGCTACACAATAAAACTTGAAAAAACCATATGTTTTAAAGTTGGAATTTCCAGTTATAAAATAAGAAAAATAACTCCAAATTCCGAAATTGAAATCTCCACAACGCAACTAAAACCTGAAAAAATAATTAGTTCTAATGTTGAAATTTGGTGTATTAGAAGGGAAATTTTGAGATATAAAACCGGATTTTGAAGTCAAAATTTCCTGATCCTAAGTCAGAGTTCCAAAACTAGGAATCTTAAATACACGAGAAAAATGGAAAAAATAATTGCGAATTTTGTAGTTGAAATTCCGAGATTTAGAATCGAAATTGAAAGTTAAGTAAAACCGGGAAAAATTATTCCGAATTTTCAAGTGAGGTTTCAAGGCTTTTAAGTCAGAATTTCTAAAGCTTAAATTTCAGGCGCATAAGTAAAATGGGTAAAACTCAACAGAAGTTTAAAAATTGGAACTGTGAGTTTCAAAAAAATTTCGAATTTTGGATGGTCCTAAATCGGAATTCCAAAAACAGAAATCGGATTTTTTTGAAGATTTTTAGGCAACTTTATAAAAATCTCAGTTTTTCAGTAAACTTTTTGACAGACCCTTTGAAAATTAAATTGTAGATTTCGACTTGCAGAATTTATTTTTGGCTTCGTTTTTACAAAATTTAACCAATTTTTCCAGTATCGATAAAATGAAGACAAAAATTAACTTTCAAACCGAATTTTTCGAAAATCTTGGTGTGAAACCATCAATAAATTATGTTTTTCAAATCAGCTCGTCGAAAGGTACTTCCCAGAATTTTTTGAGAATTCTTAGGCAAGTTTTAAGAAATCTCTGTTATTCAATAATAATTAAAGTGCTCGAAAATCACCTAAGGGCATTTTCTTGTAGATTTAGACTTGTATTTGGCTTCATTTCTTCGAACATTCCAACAACTTTTCCAGAAACCATAAAATAAAAATAACAATTTTCCAGATATTTAAAAAAATATATTTTCAAACCATATTTTTCGAAAATTTTGGTCCTGGACTATCAACAAGTTATGCTGTTGTTGTCATCTCGCCGAGATCTTACGTTTAGTTTCTTCAGATAAGTAATTAAGTTTTTTTTTCTGAAATTTTTTAAGAGATATTAAATTTATTCAATAAATCGTTCTCCGAATTCAGGTTGTAGTTCAAACGAAAAAACTGAGCTCAAGTGTGGACTCAAATCGATAAAGAGAATTTTTTTCATATTAGATATATTAACGCAGTGCGAACAAATAAACGTATTATTTACATTAGGCAAGCTTTGATTATTTAAGTTCACCACGTATAAACATAAAAATCTTAATGTCCTCAATGCAGAAACTAAAAAATAATTACCGTCGTTCTTGTTTGAAAAACAGAATTAAACAAAATTAGAAATTCGAGCCGTGAAGTTTACGATACCCCTTTTAATGAATTATTACGATTATACTGACCTGCATTATTGTACTACCAGACTTGTTATTACTTTTGTATAAAATTTGAAACGAAATTAATTTTTGTTCCGAATCGTTTTAAAAAGTGAGTTTAAATCGAGCTGCATTTTCCACCGCCAAACACATGACCCGATTTCCCATCTCCTCCTTGAAATTTCCTTCCCGCTTCCTGTCTTCCCCCAAACTCCTCGCGACCCATCCTCGTCATAAATTACCCAACAAAACAGATAAAACAATAATTATAGAAGCCCATTGGATACCTGCTATCCTTACCGGAGTATCAATGCCATTGGTTCCGAAAGCTCCTAGTTCGCACTCCTTCCACTAGAGGCGTTCACCCCTCTCCTCTTCAACGCGAGGGCTTTCAGTCCGCTCCGAACACCCGTGCAGCCAACATCAGAACCACCAACCCAAAAAAAGTCGAAATTTCCCAAAACTGCGATGTCGTTACGGTGATACCCGCCGCCTTTCCCACCCCACGCGTGCAGTGATTGACTATGCGTTACTAGTGCCCAGTGACTATCATGGTGACTATAATGCCTTGCAATTACCTCAATGCCCAATCGACACGATGCGCGATAATCGATAAGATGTGCGAGCCCAAGGTACCCAAAAAGCGGAAAAGCGCCCAAAAGGCACTCACTACTCGAGCTTTCGTTTCAGGTGAAGCGGTCAAGGCCCGATGCCACTTCGGACCCGTCAGATCGTGATCGGTAAGTGAAAAGGCTTTTTCGAAAAACTGCAAACATGCGCTTACTCGTTCCACAAACGAGCGACTTTATTATTACGAGCTTCGGTGCTCTTGTCATCTGATAAAGCCTTGTTAGTCGCCACTTTGACAGAATAATGTTGCTGTAAGCGTCGTCAAATGGGCGCACTTCCATTTTAATCTGCAATTGCCGTACAAAGGGGGCGATGTTTATTGTCTTGGGTTTAATTCGTCCACCCTGTGGAGCGTGAAGGCTGACCTTTGTGGCCGGTTTGTTATATTGGCGATCGTAAAAATTGCTACACGGTCAAGTAATTAAAGTGGCGGGTTTTTTTGGCGTTTTTTGAAAGTGGTCGGGCGAACTTTTGGAAGACGACATTTCGTGGAGAAAGCGGATTTCGAAAATTGCACATTTCGTGTAAATTAAACGGTGCTTGAATTGCTAATGCGGACTTAGAACCTTTTCCGGGTCGTTAAAAACGGGCAAAAGTGCCAAAAGTACGTTAATTAAGCGACGGTTCTCATTCGAAATTGAGTGTTTTTTAAATTGTTGAATGCGTGTTTCTCATTACGCTGAATTAAGCATAATGTTGCTGTTAATTACAACCAAATCTAGTACACGTGTTTATGGAAATGTATACTCTGAAAATAAAAAAATGTAGAGATAGTGATATGACAAGCACATTTACAAGAGTGTCTTCTTGCGACGGAGTATCCAGTGCGTGGAATGTACATTTTAATAACGAAGCAACAGAAATAACAGTGAAAATACAAACCAATAATAAATTGCTTTATTAAATACTTATGGCGTTGTATGTTTTACTAAAGATAATTGTCAAGTAGTTTAAGTGACACTTCCTTCAGCTGGCCATAAAATATCTTTAATTAGCTTCAACACGTTTTGGGCCATAAGCTGATTGTTTTGTGGTGAAAGTTTCAAGCTCAGCTGTATATTAACTAACGAAGTGTTATCAAGTAGCTACAAATTACACTTGGTTATGTAGCTGTCACAAAAATCACTACTTTGGAACTGCTGTCACTTCACGTAGTTAATTACGAGTGGTAATAATAGGTGTGGAATTTATCTATTTGAGCGATTTTGATTATAAAACAAACTTTCGCAGATTTTTTGTTGATAAAATTGCAATTATTGTGCATAAAAAATTGATTTGTTAGTTCGCGCACATTTTATTCATAGGAAATTTTATAGGCTATATTTTTTAATTAAGTTTATATTAGTTTCTTGCTTTCGTATCTACATTAAAAATCAGCAAAAAATATGTTACTGTTAAATATTGGATAAAGAAATGTGTTCTAAGCATGAATTTCACATATTATTATTATTAAAAAGCGCAGAGAGACGCTAAAAGGTGACACTTCGTTTCTTTCTGTGATACCAGCAGATAAAATTAGCTAATCACAAAAATTCCCTTTTATATATTTTATTCCTCAACTTGTGCATATGTTACAAACACAAGTCGAATTATTTAATGCAGTTTTTGGTGGGAAAAATATACCAACACCTTGAAGCACATGTTTGAAGTTTTGAAGTAGCTACGTAAGATTAGAGCGTATTTTTCCGAAATTGTTTCAAATTACTTCAAAAACAAAACACAAGGGGTCTCCAAAATACTTTAAAATTACTTCAAAAACAGGACATCGGGGACTCCCAAGATTCTTTCAAAGTATTTCAAAAACAGGACAGAAGGGGTCCCCGAGATAGATCAAAATTATTTCAAAATCAAGACAGTGGGAAATGCAAGATTTTTCAAATTACTTCTAGAACAAGGTGTCCTCGAGATTCTTTATAATTACTTCAAAAACAAAACACAAGATTCCCCGTGATACTTCCATTTTTTTTTTTAATTACTTCAAAAATAAGACACAAGGAGTTCCGGAGATTCTTTCTAGTGACTTCAAAAACAGGACACAAGGGAATTTGGATATTTTTAGAAACTTCAAAAACAAGACACGAGGCATCCTCCAGACACTTTAAAATTATTTCAAAAACAAGGGACAATTTGTCTCCGAGATTCTTAAAAATCACTTCAAAAACCAGACACAAGTAGTCTCCGTAATTTTTAAAATTACTTCAAAAAGACACCAGGAGCCGCCAATATTCTTTCTCAATACTTCTCAAGCAAGACAAAAGGTGTCTCCGAGATTCTCTTTCTAATTACTTCAAAAACCAGACACGAGAATCTTTAAATCTACTTCAAAAACAAAACACAGATGGACCCGAGTTTACATCAAATTATTTAAAAAACAAAGGACAAGGTGTTCGCGAGATTCTTCTTTATTACTTGAAAAATCAGAGACGAGATTCTTTAAAATTACTTCAAAACCAAAACACAGGTGGACCCACGTTTACTTCCAATTATTTAAAAAACAAAATACAAGGTGTTTGCGAGATTCTTTCTTATTACTTCAAAAACCAGACAAGAGAATCTTTAAAATTACTTAAAAAACAAGAGACCAGAAGCCCCCGAGATTCTTTCGAACTACTTCAAAATATAAACACAAGGCGTACCCGAGATTCTTTCAAATTACTTCAAAAATAAGACGTAAGGTGTCCACGAGATTTTTTCTAATGACTTTAAAAACAAAACACCAGGGTTTTCCAAGAATCTTTAAAATTACTTCAAACACAAAGGTACAATTTGTCTTCGAGATTCTTAATAATTACCTACTTCAAAAACCAGATGTAAGTGGTCCCCGTAATTTTTAAAATTACTTCAAAAAGACACAAAGAGCCGCCAAGGCTCTTTCTCATTATTTCTAAAGCAAAACAAAAGGTGTCTCCGAGATCCTCTTTCTAATTACTTCAAAAACCAGACATGAGAATCTTTAAAATTACTTCGAAACCAAAACATAGTTGGACCCGAATTTACATCAAATTATTAAAAAAAAAAGGACAAGATGTTCGCGAGATTCTTTCTTATTACTTCAAAAAGCAGACAAGAGAATCGTTAAAATTACTTCAAAAATAAGAGACCAGGTACCCCCGAGATCCTTTCAAATTACTTAAAAAAAAAAGACATAAGGTGTCCACGAGATTTTTTCTAATAACTTTAAAAACAAAACACCAGGGGTTTCCAAGAATCTTTAAAATTACTTCAAACACAAAGGTACAATTTGTTTTCGAGATTCTTAATAGTTACCTTCTTCAAAAACCAGATATAAGTGGTCCCCGTAATTTTTAAAATTACTTCAAAAAAAGACAAGGAGCCGCCAAGGTTCTTTCTCATTATTTCTAAAGCAAAACAAAAGGTGTCTCCGAGATCCTCTTTCTAATTACTTCAAAAACCAGACATGAGAATCTTTAAAATTATTTCGAAAGCAAAACATACGTGGACCCTAGTTTACATCAAATTATTAAAAAAAAATGACAAGGTGTTCGCGAGATTCTTTCTTATTACTTCAAAGAGCAGACAAGAGAATCGTTAAAATTACTTCAAAAATAAGAGACCAGGTACCCCCGAGATCCTTTCAAATTACTTCAAAAAAAAAAGACAAGGTGTCCACGAGATTTTTTCTAATGATTTTAAAAACAAAACACCAGGGGTTTCCAAGAATCTTTAAAATTACTTCAAACACAATGGTACAATTTGTCTTCGAGATTCTTAATAATTATCTACTTCAAAAACCAGATAGGTATAAGTGGTCCCCGTAATTTTTAAAACTACATACTTCAAAAAGACACAAGGAGCCGCCAAGGTTCTTTCTCATTATTTCTAAAGCAAAACAAAAGGTGTCTCCGAGATCCTCTTTCTAATTACTTCAAAAACTAGACATGAGAATCTTTAAAATGACTTCGAAACCAAAACATAGGTGGACCCGAGTTTACTTCAAATTATTTAAAAAACAAAGGACAAGGTGTTCACGAAATTCGTCCTTATTACTTCAAAAACAAGAGACCCCCCCCCCCCCCGAGATTCTTTCAAACTACTTTAAAATATAAACACAAGGGGCCCTCGAAATTCTTTCAAATTATTTCAAAAAAGAGACGTAAGGCATCCACGAGATTTTTTCTAATGACGTTAAAAACAAGACACCAGGGGTTTCCAAGAATCTTTAGAATTACTTCAAAAACAAGGTACAATTTGTCTCGAGATTCTTAATAATTACTTCAAAAACCAGTATAAGTTGCCTCCGTAATTTTTAAAATTACTTCAAAAAGACACCAGGAGCCGCCAAGATTTTTTCTCATTATACTTCCAAAGCACGACAAAAGGTGTTTCCGAGATTTTGTTTCTAATTACTGCAAAAACCAGACACGAGAATCTTTAAAATTACTTCAAAACCAAAATACAGGTGACCCTTAGTTTACATCAAATTATGTAAAAAACAAAGGACGAGTTGTTCGCGAGATTCTTTCTTATTACTTCAAAAACCGACAAGAGGATCTTTAAAATTACTTCAAAAACAAAAGACCTGTGGCCCCCGAGATTCTTTCAAACTACTTCAAAATATAAACACAAGGGGCCCTCGAAATTCTTTCAAATTATTTCAAAAAGGAGACGTAAGGCGTCCACGAGATTTTTTCTAATGACTTTAAAAACAAGACACCAGGGGTTTCCAAGAATCTTTAGAATTACTTCAAAAACAGGGTACAATTTGTCTCGAGATTCTTAATAATTACTTCAAAAACCAGTATAAGTGGTCCCCATAATTTTTAAAATTACTTTAAAAAGACACAAGGAGCCGCCAAGATTCTTTCTCATTACTTCCAAAGCAAGACAAAAGGTGTCTCGAAGATTCTTTCTAATTACTTCAAAATCCAGACACGAGAATCTTTAAAATTACTTCAAAAACAGAGTACAAAGGGTCCTCGAGATCCTTTAAAATTACTTCAAAACCAAAACACAGGTTTACTTCAAATTATTTAAAAAATTAAGACAAGGTGTTCGCGAGATTCTGTCTTATTACTTCAAAAACCAGACAAGAGAATCTTTAAAATTAATTCAAAAACAAGAGACCACGGCCCCCCGAGATTCTTTCAAA